CCTTCTAAGAAACAGGGGTGCTTCTAAGAAGCGGTCCCCCTTCCGCGCGGCCACATGGGGATGAGTAGAGTAGGTGGGATCAAACGGTCGCGCCGCATCGCCGATGCGTTACCGACGCATCGGCGATGCATCAACGACGTCGGCGACATATGGGCGCCCGCGGCGTGGAAACAGTCGGGCTCCTCATCCAGACGCACCGCCGATGCATCGGCGATGCGGCGCGATCTTCCGACTCCATCTACTCGGACCCACATGGGAGGCCTAGAAAATCCGCCGACCCTGTCGGCGTGTGGACCCCCTGTCGGCGTGCGCACAGTCGACGCATCCGTTGCCATCTTTCCGTGCGTCTCCGTCGTCCCCTTTCCCTGCAGCCGCCTCCTCACGCCCGCCAGCGAGAGAAAACCGTAGCAACGTCGTATTACGTCGGAGGGAGGCCCCTCCCCCTTGGCCCCTCCCCCGCCGAGAGGGGGGGGGGTCCTGGGGGGTCCCGGGGTGGGGTCCCGTGGGGGGGGGGGGGGTCAGATACGCATCCGCCCCTGGGCGTCCCAGAGCCCCAAAAAGCGCCAAGACGCGCCGAGAGTGCCCTAAGAGGCCCCCAAGAAGGTCCAGGAGTGCCGAAGAGGCCCCCGAGAAGGCCGAGACAAAGACAACCCAAGAATGCCCCAGGATGGCCCCAAGCAGGCCCAAGAAGAGGACCACGAACCGACATTTCGAGCTTCCCGCCCCAAGAGATCCCCAGAAGGCCCCAAGAGCCCCTCAAGGGGCCCGAAGAGGCCCCCAAGAGACCCCCAAGAGGCCCAACAGAGGCCCCAACATGCACGGTCTCTGCTACGACTCCCTCGGCCCACATGGGGAACATCTCCTTCGCCTTTTCCTGCTCCCTTCCACCTTAATCCTCCTACTCCTCCTCCTCCTCCGCCTCCTCCTCCACGTATTCGTCGTCGTCGTCGTCTTCAGGGTTGGCGGCACCGGCCGTAAGGCCTTAGCAATAGTGACCACTGGTTTGTGTTATAGTTACCGGCACCTGTAGGCCGTTTCCAGGCCCCAGGGGCCGTCAAACAATGGCACAAAGTGACGCGTCCCCGCTTCGGTGTCTGAGCACCCCGGACCAGACTAGAAGCCCCTCAAAGCCCAATTGACCGTTCACTGAAAACCCCCAGTCGTCCCCTAAAACCTCTCTCCTGCTCCCTTCAACCTCTCCCTTGTTCCCCCTCCCCCCATCCCCCGACTCCGCTTCCTCCCCTAACTAGCCATAGGACGCCAGAGCGGAGACCTGAAATCGCGACGACTGGGGCATCACAAAGCCGAGACAACCCGAAGGCGCGCCGACCGTTGCGCAGCTGACAGCTGAACAGTCGACAGCGCCCAGAGAGGGGGCACTGACTCTGACACACAATATACAGTCGGGGGTGATTGGAGAGGACACGCGAGAGGACACCAAGACCCTTCTGAGGTCCACAATGCCATAGGAATGTAGAAGGCATGGGTCGGCAAACACAGGACGCAACAGCAACCTTGATTTGACAGGGTCCACCTACCACTCCGCCTCGACTGTACTGCACTCCACCCGACACACCAGGAGCTGACGAAACTACCGTCAGCTGCACAGCTTGCAGCGCCCTAAGAGGAGGGTCGCAATGCTGATCTGCATAGCACCACACTCCGCTGGACCCCGGGGGGCTCACAGAAGTCCCGACGGTCAGAACACCCAGGGATGGGAATCAGAAGGCAGGAGGGGGAAAAGGAGGCGAGAGGAGGCAGGAGGACAGGAGGAGGAGGAGGAGCAACAGTGCCCTACTCGAAAGGAGCACCCAACCACCGGAGGGCTGGGCAGCACCTGCTCCCGCTGCGCCGGGGCCGAAGGGGAGGGAGATGCCTCGTACACGAACTCGGCCTCGCCCGGCCGCACGACCAGCTTCAGGTGCTCTACTCCCATGGTCGCGCCCGCCTCGCCCATGCATTCTGATGGGCGGCAAGCTCCTCCTGCTCCTCCTGCAACTCCTCGTCCTCCTCTTCCTCGTCCTCGTCATCCTGTCCACTTTTGCCATCCTCCCCCCCGCCCCCTCCTGCTCAGGGTCTGTCCCCCTCCTCCTTTTTCACTCCAACAGGAGGGAGGGGGAGAGGAACAACAGGAGGGGAATAGGCAGGAGACCGAGGGGGGAAAACGACAGAACGCCCATCCTTTCCAGAACTCCCACTGATGTCCCCGAGCTGTCGCCCATGATCGATGTGCGCAGCCAAGAATTGTTCCGAGGAGTGGGCCGCATTGGGGGGGGGGGGGGGGGAAAAACGGAGGCAGATTAGGAATTGAAGGTTGAAACAAATGCCGATTGGACCACCCTTCGGGTGAGAAAGAGACTGTAAGGGATAGGTGCAACGTTCGGATTGCGATTGACGTCGGATCGGATTCGAGATCTCACGATATCGATAGCTAGCGACCCGTCCCTCGGTCTAACTACTTGTCGTTTCATCTCACTGCTTGTCAGTCTTACCCTCGATCCATCGATCCTGGCATTAGTACATGTGCCGACCATAAGGAGTACCCCAGTCTGCCAGACGTCGATATACAAATTCGTCTCTGTGGGAAGAAAGCCCGCCGCAAGCGACGATTCTGCTTAACGCCATCACAGGGAAACCGCGGAAAAATCACCGAAGCAACCACACAAAAATCACGGGGTAACGATCGGAAAACCTATCGGAACAACCAGCAAAACAACCAACGAACCAACAACGAAACAACCCCATAACTACAACGGCACAACCTCGGGGCAACCATCGGGGCAACCATCGGAACAACCATCTTAGCAATCCGCAAACCAATCACTCACGGACCAACCAAAAAAACAAGACGACCGACACAGCCACATAATGGCAATCGAACCAACTATCTCAACAACCAACGAAACAATCAAGGAACAACATCGCAACAACACCAAGGCAAACACGGGACAACCGCGGATCGACCGCGGTCCAACCGCGGGAAAAAGCCACGGGACAAGCGCAGAACAACCACGGGGAAACCGCGGGGCAGCCGCGGCACACCCACGGAACAGCCGCGGCACAACCGCAGGGGCAGCCTCGGGACAACACCCGCCGCGGGACAGCCGCGGACCCACCCCGGGACCACAAGACAACCACGGGGCAGCCGCGGGGCAGCCACGGGACGACCACCGACCCACTCTACGCAGCAACGGCGGCACAAGCACAGAACGGCCACGAGACCATCACATAGCACAAACGGGGCATCGACGAGACAAAAACAGAACAGCCACCACACAGCCACTGGACAGCCACCGGCACAACCGCGGGGCAACCACTGAACCACCACGGGACAACCACAGAAACACACACCACGTTGCAACCGCGGACGAACCACACGACAAGTACGGATCAGCCACAGAGGAACAACGGGAAACTCGCCGGGCAGCGGTGGGGACTACTTTTACAGGACGCCCGCTGCATGACCACGGGACGACCAAGGAACGATGACGAGGCTGATGCAGCAACAGCCGCCTCCGAGAAGTCTGGTCAGGGGGGCGACAGGCGATCTTGACGATGAGGGCGTGAGGAAGCCGAACACGAGCAAGGGCGGCTCCGCCTGCTCCGCCTCCCTAGTACGGCAAGTTCGCGTCGTGTCGACCCCGGCGTTGGTTCCTGACACCGCGGGGATCGGTCAAACTTGAACGATCGGCCCTTTCAAAAAGGCCGGATCGTTCAAGGATGGGCCGCTTCTGGGCCACAGGCGGCGTTCCAAACTTGAACGCCAGCGCTGGAGTCGCCGCCGGTCGACACGACGCGAACCTGCCATACCCAGAAAACTCTGCGTTTCCGAACCTTGGGGGCCCCAGGGCCCCAAACCTCGGGTGTTCGCTGACGGGGGGAGGAGGAGGAGGAGGAGGAGGAGGAGGAGGAGGAGGAGGAGGAGGAGGAGGAGGAGGAGGAGGAGGAGGAGGAGGAGGAGGAGGAGGAGGAGGAGAGGAGGAGGAGGAGGAGGAGGAGGGAGGAGGGGGAGGGGGAGGGGGAGGGGGAGGAGGAGGAGGAGGAGGAGGAGGAGGAGGGGGGGGGGAAGGGGGCACAAAGGAGGGGAGGAACAGTGCACCGTTCGCGCACCACCTGGGCCCGCGGTGGCAGTTCCGAGGGACAACTTGCTGCTCCTACAGGGCCGCTTTCCTGCAGTCCTGGCCCCCCCCCCCTCCTCCTCCTCCTCCTCCTCCTCCTCCTCTCCTCCTCCTCCTCCTCCTCCTCCCCCCCTTCCCCACCGCTGGCCGCAGAGTCCTCCAACCTCGCTCCTCGAACCCCTTGCAAATCGGCCCCTGGGCCGCTGCCAGGGCGCGCTCAGGCCGACTTCGAGGCACATCCAGCCACAGCAAACGAGAGGTTCCCATGGTCCCAGAAATGAGGACCAGGAAGGACCAACACCGTCCTCAACGTTCCATCCTCGAATCCCGATGCCAGATCGAGGGGTAAGACGGGAGTGAAGGAGGAGTGAGGATCGGACGAACTAGGTGCGCTCGCGACACATCTGGCATCCTGTCCCTCCCTTCAGTGCCTTCACATTGCGCTGACTGTTTCTCTGTCCGCAGGCGCGTGCCGTAGCCGACCTACAGCTCCAAAACAGCATGCCATCGTGCCACATGGGAAGCGGGGAGCTGCGAGCATAGGAGGAGGAGGTGGCGGGCGAGCACGAGCGAGAGGAGGAGGAGGAGAATGACAGAGGAGGAGGGCGACGACGAACAGCAGCAACAGACAGGGCGAAGCAAACGGACCACGAGAAAGCGGAGGGGAAATGAAGGGGCGACGACGATGAAAAAGAACTCGGATCCAGAAAAGTGGCCTGCGTTGAGACGAAGCCACAATTCTGAACGACGGGAGCAAGGCGCCGATGCGAAAATGAGGCCGTCGCTGCAGCGGGAGCACACTTTCAAATGACTGGGAGGATACATGAAACACAAAAAACAAACTAGGACCGAAAAACACCCCGGTTGTCATAACACCCACACACACACACACACACACGCACGCACGCACGCACACGCCCACACACACGCACCCACACACACACACACACACACACACACACACACACACACGCACACACGCACGCGCGAACAAAAACAGCGCGGCACAATCCGATGAGAAAATAACAATACGCGGAGGGGGTCCGTGATCTTCTGGACAGGGTCAGTGGAGAGAGGAGAGTAGTATCAACATTGTCTAGGTGTGGAGGAAGGAGGGAGCATCCGAGTCGAGTCGCAGGGGGGCGGAGGGAGGTGGAGTGATGGGGCAACGATCGAGGGGGAACAACGCAGGGGTGGAAACACCGACCTGGAATCGGCGACACATCGCCAACAGACCGGAGATAGGCCCCCGATTGAGAAACCGCACGGTCTTAGGCGGGGCAGGGAGGGCAATCGGGCCCCTCGCCGACCGATGGGCTATTGGGGCCGATGCATCCACCCCCTGTATCCCCCCCGAACGGAACGTCGCTCCTGAACATCGGAGTCGGAGGAGGGCGGAGGAAGGAGGGAGAAGGGAGAGGAGAAACGAGGATTAAAATGGATTGGATCAAACCTGATGTCGGAGCTGGTTCTGAACCTGGAGCAGGCTGGAGAGAAAACTTGTCATCCCGCACCTTGGCTGAGCTAGCATAATATAAACGTCTGTGTATCGGTGGTTGCTCCATGATGGCTGGGCGGCGGCTCGGATTGACTACCTGATCAATCATCAAAAGGGCGAGATTGGGATCGCTCGCGGAGCCGACAACCCCCCCCCACTGAACAGAGGTCGGCATCGTTTCCACGTCAATCGGGTCTGTTCCAAACAGGTCTTCACCTTCTGCCTCGGCCCTCGACCTGGAAGTCGATGCTCGACCCTTGGATGAGCAGCAACTGGCGGAGTCTGCCAAATTATGTGCCGGAAAGATGGAGCCACTCGTGCCTATCCCATGGACGTTGCCGGCGAGACGAGCAACACGCTAGCCCAGGTTCTGCAGGAGGAGGAGGAGGAGGTCGATTCCCTCGCCAATCTCCTGTCCACCCTGGCTGTCGACGAGTCGCCTCATCTTGTTTGTAGACCACACCCTCCCCCGCCCCAATCAGATTCCACCGCCCCGGCCACGCTCAGGATGCCACAGTTACGCCCCAGGGAGGAGAGTTCTTGTGGACCCGACCCGCGACCAGAACCCTCGCCCACACCCCCCCCGCTTTGGGGTATCGTCGGAGCGAGGGGGCTCGAACGGTCTTGCATGACCCCTGCGCACGCCCCTTGCCGTCGTTCGGACGTCCATCTCCCGTGCATTTTTCGGCTTCGCGCGTGTTTTGTTTTGCTCGATGGTCCAGGATGGTCCTCGATGGATCTCGCCGAGAAAAACTGCACACGTCCGAGCGATGCCGAGGCCCTCGCAGCGCCCCGCCCCTCCCGGTCGTACATCGGCGCCACGCGGTCCCGCACCGCCGCCGAGACCGCCAGGCGCTCCTCGCGGTCGTGCCGCGCGTTCCGTCGGGCACCGCCGGCGCGGCCAGGGGGGGGGGGCGAGCAGCACGGGCAGGAGGGAGCTCTCCTCCTCCTCCTTCTGCCTGCCTCCCGCCCTCCCTCGCTTCCCTTCCTCCCCTCTCCTCCTCCCTCCTCCTCCTCTGCCTGCGCTGGTGTTGTCGCGTCCAGAGAGCTCCGGCTGTGCGGCGTACGCCGGTGAAGTGCTGGCGGAGCGGTGAGGGAACTGGGGGAACGAGGAACTGTGGGGGGGGAAAGGGGGGAGAAGGGAGGAGGCGGAGGAGAGGGAGGATTGAGAAGGGAGCGAACCAAAGACGGAGGAGCAAGGGAGGGAGGAGCAAGGGGAGGAGGATGGAAGGGAAAAGGGAGGAGGGAGGAATAGGAGGAGGACCGAGAAGGAGGAGGAGGAGGAGGGAAAAGGAGGGAGAAGGAGGGAGGAGGAAGGGA